TGCGCGGCAACGCCGGGCAACGCCGGCCAACGCGTCCCTGACGTCTCGTACGTGGGGCCTCCACGTGTCCGTGTGGCGTCCGCACTGTGGACAGCGGCGCCGGTAACGCCCTTGAATCGACCACGGCCAGGGCCGCGCCAGGGCCGAGGCTGGCACGGCGAGGGGCCACCGAATTGGAAGGCAAATCTTGACAGAGCGGCCCGTCGCTGACCTCGGCTCGGCCAGGACTTCGGCCTACGGGGCGTCCGACAGAGGAGGACCGACTGCGTGTGGCGACACGGCGTGTGTGTGCGTGTCTGACTGCGGCCGTGTACGCAACACCTCGGCCCCGCCACGGCCCGCCAAGGAAGGCGTCGTGTGGGATAAGCCCGGCCGCTAGAGACGGCGAGGCGGGGCGGGGCGGGGCGGGGCAGCCGGGGGCGGGAGAGCATTTCATTGCGGTCCCTTTGAAACGGCTGCCCGAGGGGAGGGGGGAGTGGATTCAGAATAACAGAGTGAGTCTGGATGGGACGCGGCGCGGCGCCCACCCCCTGCCCTACACTCCACCCCACACACCTCTCTGGACACTTAGAAGGCCACTCTCAGAGTCCAGGTGTTACCGGGCAGATAGGCCCCCCCACCTCCTCCCCTCCGACCAATCTATACTCTAACAAGCCGCCCCAAACCCCGCTCCACGCCCCAGCAGCCCCCATAGCATTCTTCTGCTCGGCCCGGGACCAGCCTCCAGCGCCTCCAGCGCCTCCAGCCGGCAGCCGGGCCTTCTTGGCGGCAAAACTACGCGAAAATCGCTAAAATGAAATGGGGAGAAAATGTGTGTCGCAGCGACGCTTTCTCTCTCTCTCTCTCTCTCTCTCTCTCTCTCTCTCTCTCTCTCTCTCTCTCTCTCTCTCTCTCTCTCTCACACACACACACACACACACAACGACGCAATCACACACACACCTACACACACACGCGCGATATAGTGCCACCACCATCAAAGTTGGCGTGCGGCTGCAACTTTTAATTTCCTTTTTCCGGCCTCGGCCGGCCGAGCTGGCACGACGGGGGTGGTGGGGGGTGGGACACACAAACGGCATTGGCAAGATGGATGCACGCCAGCGATAGTGTACTCTTGTCAATAGGTGACCAGGACACGCCCTCCCCCCTCCCCCTCCCCCCGCTGCACCGCGCAGCATTCCCCATGAATAATGTATGCCCCCCTCCCCCCGCCTTTTGTAACGCTCGCGTTGCGCGGTTTACGCCCGGCTCGCTCGCCCGGCCACACACCGCCCCGCCCCGCCCCGAGCGCTGTAGTGAATTACATCCAAACATTTGACGGCCGGAGCGGGGCGGTTGGGGCGGCCCCGAGCAGGGTGGGGTGCGGTGTGGCGGGGCGGGGTGCGGTGGGTTGGGGCGGGGCGGGGCGGGGCGGGGCGGGGCGGGGCGGGGCGGGGCGGGGCGCGGCGGGGTGGAGGCGCATCCTTCCGGCGGCACAGCGGTGCAGGTATCGCCGCGGCCGCCCTCGATACCGGCAAGGCCGGCAACGCATTGGAGGCGCTTCGTTTTATGGAAATCTTTTCCGTTGCAAATGGTCTCGCCGTCGCAGCCGCAGCAGCAGAGCGCGGCGAGCGGCAGCGGGGATGCCCGTCGCCATTTCCAGCAGAAAAAAAGAGAAAGAAAATAGAAGAGAGAAAGTAGAGAATCCCGCTCGCGCTCGCGACAAAAACCTCGGATTTATGAGTTCCTCTGCAAGTACTAATGTCGCTTTTGAAATGAGTGCGGTCCCGGCCCGGCCTGCAGCTCTGTGGCCTCGTGCAACCCGGCGGCGGCACGCTGAGCAGGCCGCGCTGGGCACGGCGTGCGACGGGGTGCCTGTGCGTGTTCGACGGCCGCCACGCCGCCACGACCCGCGACGATGCCTGGGTCCGAAACCCGCCATCACTTATCACAACGCGATAATGGATCGCCATCCATGCGTCAAATTAGTGGTGGCCTCGGGCTGGAAGAGGGGAGGGGGGGGGGGAATCCTCCGAAATGAAACGCAAAATTTAAACACGCGAGCGGAACAACCGCTTAGCGAAAACAGAGTCGCGTGCCTCGCAACAGCTGAAACAGAACCGTTATTTATTTCGGCAGCCTCAAATTAAAACCACTTATTTGCACTTATTTGGCTCTGGTGCTATAAATCATGCCAATTTGCACGACTTTGAAATTTCACTTAAATTCTTTGGAAATAAAACCTACGCATAAGGGTGCTTCTCTCATAACCAAGACATCCCTTTGGGTTTCAAGTTCAAGGTTTCTCTATAGTTCGTTAAGATGCTCTCATCCGTAACAGAAAGAATTTCATCCGTACCTTGCAAAAATTTAATGCAGGGGTAATACGGACAAACAGGTGGCGTGTTTATAGTATACGGAGGCACAGGTTAGTTCTAAACCAAGATCTCTCAGAAAAAAACAGTGACGCGGACCCAAAATTCGATATGATGACGAAACACCCCAGCCACAAGGCTACGGGGCTACACAGCCAAAAGGCTACAGGGCTACCAGCTACACGGCCAAAAGGCTACAAGGCTACCAGCTACACGGCCAAAAGGCTACAAGGCTACCAGCTACACGGCCAAAAGGCTACAAGGCTACCAGCTACACGGCCAAAAGGCTACAAGGCTACCAGCTACACGGCCAAAAGGCTACAAGGCTACCAGCTACACGGCCAAAAGGCTACAAGGCTACCAGCTACACGGCCAAAAGGCCACGCGGCAACACGACTGCAGGGCGCGCCAATCACACGCAACGCGACGCGCGGGGGCGATCCGAAACGCGTTTCACGCGGACAGGCCGGTCGGCCCGTCCATTGCTCGTCCGCACGTCAGCACGGCATCGGGCGTCCCATCGGACCTGTCCGCGTGGCGTGTTCAGCCCTCGGCCCTCGCGTGATCCTGATTACAACGCGCACAACATCGCTGCGTGCATTCCACTCACATCAACGGGAACCCCCCGCCCTGCCCGAAGCCACCGGCCTGCATGCATGCACGTGGCAGGGAAGCGGCGCTCGAAATACTTCCTGACGGGTGTGAAGGAAAAACAAGAGGAAAACATGCTTTTGTTTTTACTACTAACGAAACGTGATCGAACGCGACGTACGGAACTGGATTCGCGGGGGGAGAGGAGGAGGAGGAGGGCTTTTCAAATGGTGATCATCATGTGCGCGCGAGCACCAGGCCCGACCAGGCCCTAGAGCCATCAACGCATCACCCCCACCCCCTTCCCAACATCGGCCGCGCCGCCGCCGCCGTGTTTTCGATCGGCGTGTGTTTGTCAATCGTCTTTTAATTATTGTAAAGCCGCTCGTTCCAGCCGTCGTGGCGCGGCCAGGCCTGGGCCAACCGCGGCCGGCTTGATTTATCACGTCGGCGCCGCGTGGAGGCCACGTGCAGCCTCAGCGCAGCCAGCCAGTGTCGGTGTGGCATAATTAAACCGAAAGTGCAGACAAAGTGGCGCGATTCCCGGCGGTGATATGCATGCGGACCCCGGCACGGAGGGTTCCGGCCGGCCCCCGCCCAGCTTGTCGTCCGTCACGCCCCGCGCCGCTGCCGCCGCCGCCTCGCTCCTCATGCTGCTCCTGGTCGCGGCTACACTGCGAAACCATCACTCGGCCCGCCAGGCCACCATGTTGACATGCGGTCGCTCCAACCAAAGATGCAGCCCTGCCCTGTCCGGGACGCGGGGACTCTCTCTGGGCAGCCTTTCGCGCCGCATCGCCGCATCGCTGCGTGGCTGATTTACTGAGCGGCCCTGGAGGCCCTGGCGGCCCTGGCCCCGGGGTCCGGTCCGGGCGCGTCCGGAGCTTCCGGGCCACCCAGGCCGCAGCCCCTCCCCGTCGTGGCGGCCAGTCGCAAACGCAGGCCTTTGCAGCCGCCGGCGCAGCCTGCGTAGCCAACCACGCCTCGGCGTGGCCGAGCACCCCCCGGCGTTCGTTGCGGTGGAGGACAGGCCGACGCCGTCCCCCGGGCGCGCTGCGCCGCAGCAGCCGCAGCCACCGCGCGGCTCGGGTTCTCCTCGGTCCTCTTGGTATCGGCCGCTCGGCGGCGTGGCTGCGCCCGAGGACTCCGAGAGGCCCTATTTTATCCACAGCGCCCCCACCCACCCTAACAGTGCACCCCCGGGCCGCTGTCACAAAGCTGTTCCCGCGCCGCGCCACGCCCAGCCACGCCGCGGTGGTCTCCGGTTGTGCTCCGCCGCCACACAGATCTCCGATAACAAACCTGCTCAACCGCAGTTCTTTTGCAATACAACGGCGCACAGCTTTGCCGTCGTCGCGGGCCCCGAGGGGGGAAGGGGGAGGAGGTGGCTGGGGGTTGCGGGGAGCAGCGAAGGGGGAGAGATAAAATGTGCACTCGCCCCCCACCCCCAAACCGTCGCGGCCATGGCTCCAGCCTTGGCTCCGGCCCCCAGCCGACTCCATGGCGTCCCGGCCCTACGGCCGTCCCAGACCTAGCCCCCGGGCAGAGGTATAGCACAACAAGGAAAAGGCCCCGAGTCCCTGCAGGGCTCGGACCGACGGCACACAGTGTAGGGCACATCGCTCCACGAACCAGCAGCCTGATCCGAGAGTCGCTCATCTCTCTCGCACCCGCAAGTTGTGCCAACTCGTCACACATATTTGCCCCTCGCGGTCGGGCGGCCCGGGCAGTGGGGCAGCGCGCCCCACAATGGCCGATGGCCGCGGACACCCTCGGGGCGTCACAGCCCGGAGACTGGGGCGGGGTTCTGCAGAACAGCGTTCGGGTGGCATCGCCTGTGTTTGGCTCGACGCGGCGGCAAGCTAAGACTGGGCCGGGCGGACTAGGCCACCGTAAATGCGCTAGAAGACCCCCCCCCCTTTTTTTCCATGCAGAGTGTCGTGGACACCGTTATGGATTGCGCAATCACCGGGATGGGCCTGCGGCTCGGCCTGCGGCATCGCGGCACGCCCAATTGAGCCGCGCTTTTTGTCTCGCTCGCGTTGTTTGACTTACCTCGCATTTGGGGAACATCTGCGGCGGTCGCTCCACCTTCCAGCCCAGCAGCGGCGGGATGCAGATGAGCCCCGACATTATCCAGACGGCCGTGATCATGATGGCGGCGCGGACCGGCGTGCGCTTCTTGAGGTAGTCCACGGCCTGCGTGATGCTCCAGTAGCGGTCCAGCGAGATGAGGCACAGGTTCATGATGGAGGCGGTGCACAGCAGCACGTCCATGGCCGAGTGGATGTCGCACCACCAGTTCCCGAACACCCAGTACCCCATGAGCTCGTTGGCCAGCGAGAAGGGCATGATGACGAGGCCCAGGAAGAAGTCGGCGACGGCGAGCGACGCGATGAACCAGTTCTGGATGTTCTTGAGCGCCTTCTCGGTGGCGATGGCGATGATGACGAGCATGTTGCCGACGACGACCACGATCATGAGGAGCGTGACGACGAAGGAGGCGAGAACGATGTGGAGCAGCGAGTATCCGGACGGGAAGAGCGGGTACTCGACGGTGACGTTGCCGTCGGTGCCGTTCAGGCTCCAGTTGGCGGCCGAGTAGGACGCGCCCGTGCTCAGGTAGCCGAGCCCCGACGAGTAGGAGGCCGAGGAGCCGCCCGCGGACGCGCCGCCCAGCAGCGAGTAGCCGAAGTTGGCGAGCGAGGAGGAGTCGTTGGCGGCGATGCCTAGGCCGCCCAGGCCGCCGACGAGCACGTAGTCGTGGTCCCGAAACAGCACGTCCGACTGCGACAGCGAGGACTCGTTGGCCTCCAGGCCGAAGTCCTGCACGTCCAGCAGGTCGTCCAGATCCATGGTGCGGCGTGGCGTGTCGCGTCAACGACAGCGATCACGTCCAACGGGAGAGTCGCGAGCGTCCCAGTCCGGAGCGCGCGGTCGAGGGGCGCGGCGGCGCGGCGGCGGCGGTGGAGGTGTCGCGGTTGTGGCGGTGGAGATGGTAGTCGTGGTGGCGCTGGCCCCGCATCCCCCTGCACGTGACCCCCGCGGGGCGCCGCGCCGCGCCAGGGCCTCGGCCTTCTCAGCCTCCTCAGCCCGCCTCCAGGCCGCGGCCTCGGCCTCCAGCACCTGCAGGGCCTGCAGGGCCCGCAGGCGGCCCCGGCGCGTTCGGCGGCGACATGTGCTTCGCCGGCCCTCGCGGCCCCAGCGCAGGGCGGACGGGCTGGTCCGGACGGTCTGGAACGCTGCCCGGCCCTGCCCCGCCCTGCTCCCCTCCCGCGGGGCCGAAATAGTGTACAAGTCTACTAGTGCGGCTTGGAAGACATGGAGTGGACGAGTGTGGACGCTCGCACGGGGCGGGGGAGGGGACGCAAGCGCGCTGCCGAACGGTAAACGTATCGGAAGTTGGACAGAATGTCGCTACGAGGGGAGGGGAGGGGGAACGGGACGCCGCGGGACGCACGATGCGGCGTGCTCTGCTTGTGGAATATGTCAACGTGTTGCGAACCGCGGGAGAGGAGAACGGGGAAATCTGATTGGAGAGTTACATACACAGAGGTAAACAGATGATATTTTAAATTTTAGAAATCGACTCTACATAAAAAATGTATAAAAATACTTTCTTTTAATAAGCAAAAATGAATGTAAATAAGGCGTATAAACGAGTAGCGGGAAGATTGGCGATTTTAGATTTTTGAAAGACTCCACTGTTTTAATGTGAATTAAAACCAACCGAGGACACAATCTTACGATTCAGTCCGAACGAATGACGCCACGACTTTGGCGTTCAACAACCCGCCCTGCTCTGGTTTCTAAACACGCGTACCGTGGTGGGACGCGGGGGGCACAATCCTTTCTAAAATCAGCGCCCGCACTAAATAATTGGAGCGCCCCGCACTTCTAGGTGGAGCGTCACGGACCTACCTCTACTACTTTTTATGTACACCTTAAATTAGTTAAAGCCACTGTTACCACGCCCGGCATACGAGATGCCGTGTCCTTAACCTATCCCCGACGAAGTCGTCGGTAAACGTAAACACAAACACACAACACGCGCACACACAAACACACACGCTCACACGCACAGTCACGCACTCACACGCGCGCGGGTTCGGGAGGGGCCGGGGTTCGGGGCCACGGCAGGGGTGTCGCGGGGTGCGGTCCCCGTTTACAGCACGACTCCTACGCCAGAGTCGCGGCCGCCACCGCCGCTGGCTGTCTGTCGCGCGGACAGGCTATCGCTGGCACTGCTGCTCGGACTGGGCACTCTTCGCCATCACTCCTGGGCCGGCATGGCTAGGTGGGCTGCAGCACGCCGTGCTTGGCGGCCTTGGCGGCCTTGGCGGGCGTGGTGCCGCGTGCGACAGGTGCGGGCTGCGACGACGGCCCCGGCCGAGCGGAGGGCATCGTCGTGGACCTGGGCTGGGCTCCGGGCGGCGGCAGTGTGGCGGCAGCGTGGCGTCACATGGGGCCCTGGCCCTGGCCCTCGGCCCAGTGGCGTGGCGCCGTGGTCTTGGCGCGGGGCGCGTCGGTGGCGCGGGGCGTCAGTGGCGCGGGGCGTCGGGGCGCGTCGCGTACGAGATGCCGGCAAGGTTCGGGCGGCGCAGCGACTCGCTGGCGTGGCTCGGCGCGGACCGTGCTGGAGGGACCCCCTGTATCGACTGCCTGGCTCTGCCTCTGCCCGCTCTGCGCGGCGTAGCGTCCCGACGCCCCGACCGGCCTCGGCTCGGCTAGCTCGGCCCCACGGCGGGACGCGGCGGCACGGCGCGGCGCAGGGCTGCGCTGGGGGCCCGCTGGCTCACTCTCTCTACTCCGCTCTCTCCTCTCGCTCTCTCTCATTCTCACTCTCTCTCTCCCTCTGGCCCGGCTCTCTCCTCCTAGCTCTCCGTTCCTCGCTTTCTCTTCCTCGCTGTGCCTGGCCCCTCCCAGAGAATTAGGCCGTCCTTCCCTCGTCCGATTTCCCTTAAAACTGGCCGCAAATTTAACGCAAGGAGAGCGTGTCGGGAGAGTGGTCCTTCCTGGTTGCTACGCCATGCTGCCAGTCCGCGCGGCCTGCAGCCGGCCCCGCTGCGCTCTTCTGCTCTCCCACGCCCAGTCGGGCCCGAAGAGTGCCAGGCCTCCTTTCCATATTGCACAAACAATTTGTTCAACTTAGGGCTTCGCGCGGCTTCGACGAGCCCTCTCTCGTTAAGCGCCGCGCACTTGCCCACTCTCCCCCCTCTCTTCCCTCCCCATTCTCTCTCTCTCTCTCTCTTTCTCTCTCTCTCTCTCTCTCTCTCTCTCTCTCTCTCTCTCTCTCTCTCTCTCTCTCTCTCTCTCTCTCTCTCTCTCTCTCTCCCTCAGTCCGCAGGGGTAGTGGGCGCGATGAGGAATATTTTCTGATCGGGGTGTAATGCGATTACGAGCCACAGAGACGCCACCGCCAACAAGGTTCGCGGGAAGCGATACAGCTGCGGAGTGTCGTGTCGAGCACGGCGGTCTGGATGGTCTGGATGGCGGGGCGCGGCGCGGAAGGGGGAAGGCGACTTGAAAATTCAATCCCACGCACTCCATTTAAACCCGGCCCCTGCCGCCGCGGTTGGATGGACCGCCGAGGCAGTGCAGTCGCGAAGGGGTGGGGGGTGTTGCGACACCCAATATTTTGCGCTCTCCTTCGGGTAAACGTCGTGGGGGTGGGGAGGAATGTTGGATGGAGCAGCGCTCGGGGCGGGGCAGGGTGGGGTGGAGTGGGGAATGGTGGCTGGGTGAGGAAGTGGGCGCGGGATGGGGCGAGCGAAGGTCAAGGGAGCGAAGTGTAGGAAAGGCGCGTGCATGACTCGGACATTCTCTCTCTCTCTCTCTCTCTCTCTCTTTAGCTCTCTTCCATTCTCCCCGCTCACCCTCCTCAAAATATCAATAGAGAGGCGGCGGAATCAACACACTTAGCTACTGACAGCCGCATCCCGCTCCAGCCACGCTCCAGCCCCGCTCCAGCCACGCTCCAGCTGCTGTGTGGCGTGTTCGCCCGGAAACTGCCCCGTCTCCGCTAACCCTGCACCTCCCCCACCCCTTCCCCACTCCTCCCCCTTCCCCCCAGCAGCTGCTGCCAGCTGCCCCCCACCCGCTGGAACTCATTCTGCCTTAAAGCGCGTCGCCGCCTACCCGTCCAGAGGCCACCTTTCACTTTCCCTCTCAAAAGTTGCCGCTTTTCCAAAGACTCTCTGCAAACAAAATAACAATAATTCCGAGTGGCCGGTTCAGGCAGCGGGCTTGGCGCAGGCCTGGCGCAGGCCGCTCGCAGCTTGATGCTTGTTTGCCACTTGCTTACCAGAACGGCGCTCCCGCCGGGGCCCAGCCCCCCAGCCCCCTACCCCATTCGCCCGTGGCCCGCAGACCGTAACACTGCGCGGCCCTGCACAGCCTTCCAAAGGCCCCGGGAAGCGGGGCGGGGGAAGGGGGGGGGGACCGAGTCCCGCGCCGCTCCGCCGCTGGAGCCTGCAGCCTTGCTGGAGCCTCGCTGGAGCCTCGCTGGAGCCCAAATATGGAGGCGGGGCCTAGCGGGCCTCGAAATGGAGGATCAGGCGAGAAAATGACCGTGGATAATAGTGGTCTGCGAGGGAAACACGCACACTCACAGACACAGAGCCACACACACTAACACACAACCGTCACCGGAAGCAAAAAGGAAGGGTGGGTTGAGGTCGGGAACGTGTCCGGCTGCTGTAGTGCGCGGGGCGCGGGGCACGGCGCGCGGGGCCGGCCCAGCCGCGCCCAGCTAATCCACTAATTGATTATATTCCGCGGGAGGTCCTCTGGTCCTCTGGTCCGCTGCCGGTTCGGTCCACTTCCCCGTCCACTGGCCCGTCCACTGGCCCCGAACCGCGCGCGTGACGAGACTACTTTTCCGTCGGTCCGCCCCGGCGTCTGGTCGCCCGGGGCGGGAGCGGGCGGCAGCCTCGCCGCCGGTCCTTTAATTGATTAGCAAACGAGGAGCAAAGTGACGCGGCGTGAAAACAAGGCCGCTCTGTTCGCGGCCCGTCTCGCGGCCCGTCTCGGCGGCACGGCGCGCCTTTTCAAAAAAACGGCCGGACCACCTGCGCCGCCGCCGCACCTGTGGCCTTCCCTCTCGGCGCGCGGCCGTGCCGTGCCGTGCCACGCCGTGCCCTGCGCCGCCCCACCTGGCCGGACAGACCCGCCCGCCATGCCCGCCCTGCCTGGCCCTGCCCCTGCGCCGCTGTCCCCGGACATAAATTTGCCGAGGTTCTTTCACTCGAGTTAATCCAGCTTATCGTTTCGAGGAGGTCGCCCCACTGTATGGCCAGGCATGCCCCCCCCCCCTCTCCCCCCCCCCCCCAACTCGGGGCTTGCCGGCTAATTTTCGTGCGGCGGAAAGAAACGGCTCCCCGCGACACATTATGCAGACACACGTGCACAGATATCCCCCACATAATGCCAGGCCATGCCGTGCCGTGCCATACCGTGCTGCGCCGTGCCGTGCCGTGTCACGCTGTGCCGTGCCGGACCGGAGCAGCCCCGCCGTGTCTCACTCCACGGCCCAAATAATGCACGTCCACCTATTTCCATTTTTTTATTTCCTCAAACAGGACCTCTTTATTGCGAGCCACCATTTTTTTTTGCGCGCAAAGGCCACTAGAGTGCTGCTAGCAGGCTCGGACTGGCCCCCAAAAGGCCCCAGCGGATAAGACCGCAAAAGGCCCCCGATCATCATTATGTTTTTACCCTTCATGACCAACTTTGTGAGGCTACCGCTCCCAAACTAAATGCGGTCAATAGCCTTCCCGATACAGGGCATCAAAGAGAAGGGTCTGAAGAATAGTAGGGCGTCGAGGGAAGCCTTTTAAGGCAACTAGATTGGACACAGTGGCCGCCCAAAGTCAGCAAAATCGGCAAATTTCCGAAATTCGTCCATTTTTTGACCAACTTGGTCGGAAAATCGTTGCGGTCAAAGCCAAAATCG